AAACTGTGGGCTTTGAAAAGGGTTTGTAATTAAAGTGGTGTAATATTGACATATATCAGTTGACTTATAATTATATTATTGTAAAATGAAGTGCAAAACTTATGTTGTTGCAGTGTAATGCCTTAAAACAGTGATACTCAATTTACAGCCTGCCAGTCAAATCCAGCACCACATAAGGAGCCTTCAAATATTTTCAAAATGTACGTCTGGTTTTCCAATCAACCCTTTCTGGCTAACAACATGGAGGAAGCAGCTTTTGGCCAACTTCCTCCTAATCCTGGGTACCTGGGAAAGGACGACACACCAGTGCCACCAAGAACCTGCCTGTGTCCATGCAAAAAGATTAACTTACTTTTAAACAATCAAAGCGTCTACACGTGCCGCCTAATGGCTATAGAAAAGTGCCATTAAAGTCACAACCATGGAGGAAGGCATTTAGAAGACATCATGGCTGAGCAGACTCAGCTAAATAATGAACATATGCAGCGAAGGTGGGCGATCTGTGGGAAGTGCAGTGTAGAAACGATCAATGCACACTTAGCATTGAAAGTGACCTGAACCACTTAACATTTAGCACTTCCACATAAAAACCTTAATTCAAAGATAGGCATTTGGAAATTGATGGGCTGGTGTGTATTTGATAAAGGCGAGAGGTGAATATGGCGAGCTTTGTTAGAGCTGTAATGGTCCTATTTAATGTTTCAATAGAAAAGTTCATGTCTTAATTGTACCTGATTTGAATATCTGGATTATAGAGCCACCCCCAGGTGTAAGGCTTTGTATGATTAATGGCGGGGGAAGAACTAGTTATCTCTGCCTCGCTCTCTCCCTAGCGGTGTGTGTGAACTCTCTCACTCTCAGCTTTCATTAATCTAATTCAGGCTGCTGTGCACACCTCTGGTAAAAATCTCCTGTTCCATCAACGGTGTTACATTGGAGTTGTGAAACACGCCTTTTTGCTCGGCGTGGAGAAGAGAGCTGAGGTGTTTCTTTCACTGTCGGTGGGCTCAGACAGCAGCGTGGACACATTACGGAGCTGTGAGGACACTGGAGTGCTCAGTGAGGGACAGGCTGCCCTGCTCTGCTCTGCCTCTCAATATCACATGTAATCACATCTTGTTATCCATTCGCTCTGCTGCCAGGGGCATTTACATAAGAGCATAGGAAACAGTACAGTTTTGTCATTCTCATTATGTTGCATCAGTGTTAAAAGCTAGGACTATTCAGCAAGAAATCAAAAAATGTATATAAGTCATATAATGAGTACTAGAGGTTTTGTGCACTTGCCAAATCTGACAGAAGTCGTCACTCCAGGCGTCTCTGCACTGCAGCAGGCTAGATGTCTTTAGCAATCACGCTGCAAATATTAATATCTACGAGTAGGACTGAGTACAAGCACTGTGTATAAGCAGGTATTAATAAGGTAGCCACCTGTCTGTAGATAGCAGCCTAATAGGGGGTTGCGGTTCAGGGGGAGGACATGGACCTCTACCAATCAGAGAGTTCAGCATTGATCCTGATTGTAAGTCCCTCTGGTTAAAAGCTATAGAGCAGATCAAGCAGAAACAATGGATGTCTGCACTACACTCTAGTGAAACATGTACTGGATATATTCCATATCTGTAATCTTTGAAAACACATCATAATGACAGCTGGTGCAGCTCTTTTATTGTTCTTGCAAAACTATCTATGTTTTTGTTGAGAATCCCTGCATAAAGAAATTGAATCATCAGAATATTCCAGAACATGACTATGTCTAGGTCTGTCTGTGTGACATGCCTTTCAGACTGTCTCTTAGTGGCTAAAAACAAGCTGTTGTTTTTTCATCAGGGTTGAGATTAGGGCAGGGAGAGCTGACAATTGGATGTGTGCTATTACCATACTCCTCTGTTTACCCCCTCCCTTAGCTCTGCCTCCGTCTGCTCTGCTTCTCTCTCTCCCTCTGTCTTGCGTTGAGGTCGCTCATCCCCTCCTCCCCTCCCTATCGCCATTCGTTATTCCACTGAACACTCTGTCGATTCCCCCTCTGAGCCTCAGTTTCATATCTCATCAAGAAAAATGCCAGCTCTGACGGTGGCTGGCTCCAGATTAAAAAATCCGGTGTTCCACAGGCATTGCAGCAAAGAGCAGAGCAGAGGATGTAGCGAAAGTACACTGAACTGGATGTCTCAAATGTCCCAGTAAAACAAGGCTGTAAATATCTAAATCCAGTACGCCATGATTGCTCTCTTTTTGAATGACTTCTTTTTGTTGCGCTGTTATCCAGAAGCCATGTGTAAATGCAGGGTTTTATAGCTTATAGCTGATTTATGGTCCCTATAAACCTTTTTCACGCTGGTAACTGAAGGTGTATTGGAAGAGGAGAGAGCTTTTGAACACACACATATCAGAAAATAAATGTCTTGTGGGGTCAAATACCTCATACAGACGTGTTTGTGACTCACAGGTTTACACCTACCATGTATTGCTGGTACTTCAGAACGCCGGTTAATTGATAAGCGCATTGTTTACTTTGCACTGTGCGGATATTCCAGAATCAGAAGCTCGGCGTTCGCAGGAAAGCAAAACTCGAAGCACGACTACAAACGTACAATTCAGCTAACTCGGACACAGGAAATGCAGGTACGCCTTTGGGAGAGCTTAAAGCAGTTGCCAACGAAAATGATTGTGCAAATGACATTAAAGAATATGCAACATAAAACTTCACGGTCTCTTGAAAATCGTTTTGTCGCCATCCATCCCTAAGAGCACTTTAATCAAGAAAGGAAGAACGCACCATCTACTTTACAACACATGGATTGGTGGATATCATGCATTTACAGAGGACAAATTGTTAAATAAAAGCTGAATGAGGTCTTCATGGAGACCTATATTTCCACGCTGAGATGATAAGAAGCCTCTCGGGCCGCCCTTCAAACTTCAAACGAATCCCCGTTCATTGATTGGAATGACTTTCTGTCACAAACACACATTTGATGGAGGTTGGAGGGGTCAAGGAATAACCTTTTCCCTCTCCAGGCTGCTGCTCAACTAGCTTTTGATTTGATTGGTCTTTCTTAGAAGGGATGCTTATAGTTATAAAACTCTTCAGATTCGAGGAGAAATGCAGGTTTCATAACACCTGGTGGAAGATGTCCTGGTTTCCCGTTCCCTCTATAATCAGTTTTCATATAAATATATAATGAATAGCCAAGTATGTCATTAAATTACTCATTAGAAAGCTGTGCACTGAGCAATGATCAACAGCAGATGTGTTGGTATTAGCATAATGCTGCCATTTGTTACACGTGATCTAGTTTTCATGGAAGTGGGTCAGGCCTCACACTGTTCCTCGGTGTCTTTCTGAGAGATATTTGGCAGCTTTTTTCAGACTGACTCAACACACTGAAAGGCTTCCAGAATGTCTGGGAATATATCTTAAACAGCCACTGATCCCTGAAAGCTTTCCACTTGTGATCAAAGCGCCACAGTCTAAGTGTGTGTCTGTCACTGACATCCTGCCCTGCCTGCATACGGCCAATGGGACACTTCAGAAAAGCTAATATTTGACAAACAGGCAGCTAAACACCACTCGATGCAGGACATTTGCTGACATTACCTCACATAAAGGTCTCCTCTCCGTGCTAATGGTACAACATTCAAATCTAATTGAATTAAATTCAGAAGCTAATACAAGGATAATAATGATTGAAATGACCTACAGTATTAGCAAATCCCCAAAAATACGATCAATGGATACAACTGTATTTTTTACAATAATACGAGGTCACCCTTTAAAAACAGTAACAACCCATTGCTTCATTTCCTTCTCTCCTCTCCGAATGTTCTTTTATAATGGATTTCATTATAAATGTAGCAGTACAATGTTTTTCTCTCAAGTAGCGGTACACAGTAGACAGTTTCTTTTTTGGAGCACAGACTGGAAACAAAATAACACTGGAGATTTAATTAAAAGGCCTGTGCGTTCACACTGTATGCTAGAACTTCCAGAAAAACGCGGGCAAAAATCCTTGATTATGCGATTAAACATGCAGGGTTTTTATGTGATTTTATGCGGTGAAATTGCGGGAAGTTGCGAAAAATAATAGATTATTTTTTTAATATTGGGCTGTCTTATTTATTCTCTCTAACACACAACCTGCCACTAACGTTAAACCCCTTTCCTATTCAATTAAACACATTCAATCTTTATTTATTGTAAAAGCAATTGGGCTATTTTAAACACACACACACACACACACACACACACACACACACACACACACACACACACACACACACACACACACACACACACACACACACACACTTCTCCGCCTCATTCTGTTTTCATTTACTCGTTTGTTATCTGACCAGCTTCAATCTTGTAGGCTACTCACTTCGTTTCTTGTAGCCCTCGAAAGGGTTTTGGAGGTTGATGCCTCGTGAACGTGAGTTGTTTGGCTTTCTTGTCCGCTGCAGCAGAAAGCATTTTCGAATGTTTGAATGAATCAAAGTGGGTCGCCACCGTCGATTTTCTCTTATGCTGCTACACACTGCCAAGGCACACAGTTGCACAGGGGTGCAGAATAGTTTCCCCCCCACTTTCGTGCAAGACATCGGGGTACTGCTTTGCCCGGTCTTTAGCAGAAATGTTCGTCGGTAAATGAGAGGGATCAGATTTTTTCATCTTGGTGTTTTCTCTCTCGTGTGAGTTCCACACGTTCACTCTACGGTGTTGTTTACCTTCTGTGATGCGCGAGCTGATGACGTCGCGTCATCATCATCATCATCATCACTTCACGTCAAGTTAACTTTTTTTTTCTCAACTTTGTGTGGAAAAATGCAGGGATTATGCAGCCTTTTGATAAATATGCGGCCTTTTAAAAATCTGCGCCATTTTGCTGATTATGCGGTCAATTCTGCGATCGCAGAATCGCGTTTTTCTGGAGGGTCTAGTATGCCAGCACAACATGAGTTATTTCAGATAAGACACAGGAAGTGTAGTGTGCAGCACTCACGTTCTCCGGAGCAGCGGGGGGGAGGAACCTGGAGGCGCACACCAGGAAGGAGTCGGGGGCAGGTTTGCTGTTCTTCACGTCGGGGTCGTCCCCCAGCACGATGTGGTTGAACTGACCGAAGAAGGGCTTGTGTTGGAGGGTCTTCAGCTGGAAGGTGGCCCCAGCCGAGCTGGTTGCCACGGCGACGGGGATGTTGTGCTTGAGCAGGTGGAGCACCAGCTTCTCCACACCTAGCGGGACCCATGTTGTAAAGTCAGGATTAATGTATGTTTTACCCTCTTTTAAGACTTTTACATTCTGAAATACTGCACAACTTTTTTCCCTTTCAGTAACTTGTCATATTCTTGCTAGTATTTTAGTTATTCTGTTCCCTCTTCTCAAAGTCAACAGTTTTTTTGAACGTGTTGTTGGTTAGATACCTAAAATAAGATTAAGACAAGCTTAAAATACCTTAACGTTTAGTATTAAGAGCATAAGATATGTCAGTAAATACCTCACTGGTGAATGTCAAACAGAGGTTGCTAACTTTAAGGTTACATAGTCACTCTATTTTTATGTATTGATATTATTTATATATATATTTTTTTTTATATAACTTTAGTCCTCTTACTGTGTTCATGTTCAACACAGCCCAAAACATTTTCTTAATTTGCATTTGTTTTGGAACATTTGTGTTTTTATATATTTGCATAATTTCACTATTTTCTCCTAATGGAAGTGATAAGGGCGCGTTTCCACCAGTCGGCCACCGTAGATCCATGTTACACAACAGCAAACTTTTTCTATTTGTAAACCTACTTGACAATAAATCAGATTCTGATATACAAGGCTAATGTTATCAATAGAAACCCTATTCATATAGAGCTCTTTGCACTGCTAGTGAATATGTCTCCATCCTTCTTTTGTGTTTCAACAGTGAGCCGAGAGCAGAGCTGTGGGAGGATTTTAATCTAGAGCTTCAAGGGTGACACTCTATATAATGTAATAAAAAGTCCTTCCAAGCTTTTCTGTAAGTTAAAGAGACCGTGAACACATCTTTTAACAGATAGTAAACATGCTGCTCCACACTTTAGCAAATTCGTTACAAAGGGCTGACTCCAACACATATTTTTTTAAAGGGGAATTTGTCCTCAGTTATGTATTACTGAAACTAGACCAACACAATACCTCTGCAAGGTGTAGGCTAAACCATTACATCCATGCAATAGCTCCTCTTTTTATTGCTTTAAACTCTGTGCACATCACTCTGCAGAAAGGACTTACATAGGGGAAGCAGAAGGATGCGAAGGAGAATCTGAATAAGGGCTGCACGATTAATTACATTTTTGTATAGAAATAGCTATTTGGAATCTATCAGTGCAGTCCTACTCTGAACAAATTACTAGAGTGACAAATTACGCTTCACATTCACAAATGTTTATATTACATTTCAACAATGGCGCATATGGCAGACGCAACGTTTGGTCCCGATTCATTTCCTAAATCTGAAGGAAACAAGATGTTTGGGTGAACGATAGTCTCATCTGCGCCTTTGTGACTTTAAAGGCTTGCCATTTGTCCTCAATTAGTTTAATGGAATTGTCAAAAGAAATTGCATAGAATTGGACAAAAAGGTTTTCAAACTGTGTTCAAAGCCATTACTTTTAGCTCTTTAACTCTACATAGAGTTTTCCCACAGTGTTTACCTTCGCCAGAATACAATAATAGATAACTAGAAAGGTATCACAAATTAATGCAACAATTTAAATAAGTGTGGTAAAAGTAAACGTCTATTCTACTGTGTGTAATCCCTTCAAGATGAAACTACTGACTCATAGTGAACCCTTCCTCTGTTCAATAGAACACAAATAAAATGCTCTCCATTATAATTCAACGTTAACGCATGAGGTTATGAATTATAAGATGAGAGGCGGCTGTACCTGCTGAGTCATTGTCCTTATGTGACACTTTTAATGGTTTCTTTCAGAAAAGATAATTAATGTTCATATTCCCAGAAAAAAAAATGCTCTTTATGATAATTAGCCTCCTGAGGTAAAAGGATTATAAAAGCCTTCACTCACTGTGCAGTCACTCACTTTCGTGCCAGAATCAAGGCGTCACAGCAGAAACCTTCAAGAACACTTTGGACGGTTTTACAGAAAATGATTGCTATTATTTTGTTTAAAGTATGGCAGTGCGGGTAAATCAGATGTACCTGGCATGATTTTGGCGGAGGGAAAGATCCTCTCTTGGATCTGTCTGCTTTCAGAGAGTAGTTCCTCTGCGGTCATGGGGAGATCCAGAGCATCACGGATCATCTGCGAAGCAACCAGAGCGCTCCTCCCCATCACCGAGGACTTCACCTCCCAGGTGTACCGCTTCCCATAGCGGTCACAGATCTCCTGGAAGGACACGGTGTACAGTCGCTCTGTGTCTAAAATGAGAATAAAATACAAAAACAATGTCATTAAGCAATACTACAACTCTGGTAATGACCACTTATTGTAATGAAAAGTGTTTTATAAAAAGGCCTGTTGTAAAAAGCACTTTATTTTTTAAACAAACAAAAATAAATAATACTTTCAGGGATAACAGCCCTGAACAGAGCTTTGGTATCAAACCATTGCAATGTAAACTGTTCTGTTTTGCGATATAATTATACATATATAGTCAAGAACCACGTAGTCCATGTTAAATATATTATTAATCTTAAATTCGGCACATGTCTGATGAGTCCATTTCAAACAGCTTGTATAAAATCAACTTTCAAATGGGGGTAACATAACGTCACGTCAAAAGGGATTGTAAACATTGCATTTCTGAGGTTTCTAGAACAAATACATATTGGATATGTATGCCGAATTAACCACTAGGTTATTAGCAACAAAACACAATTCAACGTTTGGTTTAATAGTGCACGTTATGTTAACTGTGTGCAAATGAATCATGAATTTATAGTTTTCTCTATGCAGTTCGGCATGCCAAGTGAATAGCTGTGCACGAGTTTCGGTGTCAACGTCGCTTTAGTAGAGGTGCAATCTCCCAGTATGAATAGACAAAGAAAACTACAAGACATAACAAACATAATGCGTTTCAACACCTAATAAAAGTCCATCCATGTCGAAAAGTACATGGCTCACGGATTTAAAAGTGCTTCTTGATGCAGACATGTTTCACTCAGGAGCCTAGTTCCGTGTTAAATATCAGGCAAGGAGGTCAAACAAAAAGTAACCCCGATAAGTGTTATTGTAAAAAAAGAAAAAGGCAGCTAATCCGTGTAGGTGCTCCAACTACAGATTTATAAAAGGCTTTTAACGTTTAATTAGTATGAATAAAACTAACAACAAATAGAATATTTGAGTCTAAAATGTAGCTACAACAACGCAGGGATAGTTTTTGGTCGTCCCAGCGCAAGGGTCATTGGGATATTGATTCAACCAATTGCTCTTTAATTTTAAACTATTTCAATTTCCTTTTTTCTTCATTCTTTTATTATTACTTGTATCGTTTTTTTTTATATATTAGTTTATTTCCAGAAATATCCTTGGAGTTTTCAAGCTCATGATCATAACTGATGATTAATAATGAATCCTTGTCATTATGCCACCATCTACCTTTATACTCACTCTCTTCACCAAGTTATTATTTTTGTCTTTAATTTTTGTGCAGTTTTTTCAATACAGTAGTAGTTTGACTAATTCATTATGACATCTTGAGGATTTATTTATTAGACATAGATATTGGGCTATATAAATAAACATTGATTGATTGATTAGACTTGACATATCTCCTACAGACACAGAAGATATTCAACATTGTGTTACTGCACTAACAATGCCAAGTAAACTGACTTTGTGTAAAATCCAGATAGCGCCCATTAAAGTGAACATAACATTTGATTGCCCTCACTTATATAAGACACACAAGTCCTCAGAACACGAGGATGTTGCTTTTGTACACTCTGAATAACAAATGTTTTTCTTTCAGTGTCTTACTTTTCCATTCTGCACAGCGTGTCACAGAGATGGGCCGCAGCAAATTACTGACAAAAGGCTGCTCACGGCATTGTTAGCAGAACTGCCACATTTTGGGAATAATTGGAAGCTCCATGTTAACAGAGTTTGTCTTGTTAGTGTGAAAGAGACGTCAGGGGAATGAGAGAACCCCGTAACCTGGACAATCTAATGAGCTTATGGATTTCAGGCCTAATTGGGGGACGACGGTGAGAGTGAAATGGAGACTTTGAGTCCCATCGAGTGTGCTGTGTGCCAAATTGTGTAGTTTAGGGAATTGCTCAGACTGACGGTGAGATGGGAACACTAAGCAGGAACAAGAACCATGTGTCTTTTCTGGAGGAGCTAGAAAAGTACAATTTCCTGATGAGTCCCACAAATCAAGACAAAAAAGATGACGGTGTGGGAGAAGTAGCAGGAGATGGCAATGAAGCTAGCCCGGAGCGACACTTTGCAGTCTGACTGAAAGAGTGTGTGTCGATATAAATAGCGGAGAGGTAAAATTACAGGCAGAGACACACTTAGTCAGTTCTCACATCTCTCACCGGAGTGCAGAGACACCGCTACATTACACACAGAGTTGTATTCAAAACTTTATGTCTGCTGCCTAATTATTACACATATAAACTTTGTTCCAGCTTTTCATTAGCATTCAGTCAACATGATTCTCGTTGATATGATGGATTATACACAGATCACTTGATATTAGAATTGATCCCATTCTAACCCCCTTTTCCATTTAGCTATACGTCCACAATTGTGGAGACATTGAAGTTTCCTGTGCTCACTGAAGACCTTTGGATGCTGACTTAAAAATAGAAATTCTCAACCTGTCATCTCATTTGTGTATATAAAACTTCTTTGTTTTTTTTGGCGTACTACAAACCTACTCAATGGACCTGATACACAAGGGAAGGTATATAGTTTCTTGGCCAAATGTTATAAACAAGGTGGTTGTCCAAGATGATCACAACTAAATATAAAGCACAACATACTAAAACCATGACCCTATGACAAGGTAGCACACGGTTTAGCCCAATTGTTTGGTCCCAGGATTCTAGATAACCAATAATTGTGGCCACCACAGTAATGATATCCATTTATGTTATTACCGTTCCCTAGCTAGAATGGATATAGACTCATTGGCCAGCAGAGTTGCTTGGTAAATGAATTCTCTTTGATTCGGAGGCGAGGGATCGATAAGTGTATTCTGAGTTATGGCTACAGCAGTAGTTGATGAATACAGTCTTCTCCCAGTGACACACTGCCAACGGTGATCATGCTTTACAGATGACACTGTCAACCACAGATGATACCGTCATTTGTAATTCTCCTCCAGTTTATCCTTTGATTACTAACCGTGACACTTCGACAGGAGGAACAGGCCCTAAAGCAATCTCTCTCTCTCCACACACACACACACACACACACACACACACACACACACACACACACACACACACACACACACACACACACACACACACACACACACAGCTGTTTACACTGTGATGATAAGCTTGTTAACTCTATGTGGCTCATCGGTATCGCCCTCAGCTGCAATTCCCCAGCCGACCATTTGTCCTGGGTGAGATATCAGCAATCACCATTTTAAATGAGAAAGGTGGAATGAAATGCTAATTCAGCAACGAGGATCAATACTGTTTGCCCAGGGGAAAAAAGTCAGGTGGAGGACTTTCTGCTGTCCTTGAGCTCTCAGGGAAAGCCATGACCACAAACTAACAAAACTCTTCTTTCTTCTGGCTGAACAGATGGTCTGATTCCAGAGGCGTTGAACCTGTTTTAGTGCACCTCTAAAACAGTACGTTAAAGTGCGTTATATACCAATTTGGCAGCAGATATCAATTATTATTTTAAAGAAAGGAAGCTTCATCCAAATATCTTTCAAGCCGCTGTTGCAGAGGATGTTAGATGGACGTAAGGTGTTATTTTGTTCCAATCAGACTGAAATTAGGAATTCTATTTATTTGGATTGGCTGAATTAAGCCTGAATAAACTGATAAATGTGCAAAAATATAACATGATGGAAGTTCTGATGATGGTCATCATTTAATATATACTGATGAGTGAAATCCCCCCAACCCTCACTTTGCTGTGTTGAAGTAAATGACTCTGTAAGGAGGCTGTGAGCACTCGAGACTGAAGTGTTTATGAAGTGGCTTCCCTTCACTAATGATAATGTTAATTATGGTGCTTATATGGAGGCATCTCCATTTTCAATTAGGAGGTTGATTACAAGAAGAGTGAGTTCATCTGAAGCAGCTGAGTATTTTGATCTTCATAAGTAAGTAGGTGTACAGGACTATCATGAATACTAATTTGATCAGATTTTAAGCTATGTTAAAAACACATTTATATTTGATGTATTTGCCAACGCTTTAGTGCGCTTTGATTCATTCCTGAGTATAGTAAGTAAGTAAAGTTTATTTATAAAGCACTTTTCACAAAGTGCTTGACAAAACAATAAAACATACAATGATAAATGACCACACAAGCCACGTGTTAAGAAGTCATAAAAGCACCAAAACACAATAGAAACACAATAAAACATAGTATAAAATAGAATAAAATCAAGCACACCGGTTACCCAAATGCCTGCCCAAACAGGAATTTCTTTAAATTAGTTTTAAAGGAGTCAACAGTCAGCGGACCGTAGGTGAGCGGGCAGAGCGTTCCATAGCATAGGAGCCACGGCCTCGAACGCGCGATCCACGATATCATCGATAGCAAAACATGATAATCTATTCTCCGTCATAGTAAACCTAAATATTTTAATCGTAAGTATCTCTTATTCAGTATGTTATGGTCTATCATTCAAGTGCATGTTTAAGATCTTTAAATGTACCTATATTCGCAATGTTTGCCATCGGGAACTACAGTGCATTCTGTCCAAAGATGGAAGCAATGAGAAAAAAGGCAAGTACACATGTAAAGTGTTTCGATCCACAGCTCATCAAAAAAGGCCTCAGAATGTGTCAATGTTTCTTCAAGTGCTTCAATCAGCTCAACAGCCTTTGATCGACCAACTGTTCAAAAATTGAGTCCTTAAAGATCGTCTAGAACAGAACACTGTGATCTATCTGAACCAATATGCTCTGGTTCCAACATGATTCATCTCAGACAAGCACAGTCAACTTTTCCACGTAACATGCTATGCGTCTACAAGCCCAACATGTATCACTAGGTAATTTAGTGGGAATGCTGTTAACAGCATTCCAACTAACTGTTATTCTACGGACGAAAAGTTTATTATTCCGCCGGTATTTTGGCCCTCTTCTCCTCCCGCATTGAATATCGCAGAAACTCTGTTCAAACATCAAAACGTTCAGCTCTGTCGGGAATCGATGGCTATTACTTTTCTCATTCATAACTTTCATAATTCCAGAGATACATCCCATAATACATCAAATTTTTTACATTGAAGTCAATGGAGAAAATCTTCAGACTTCAACAAATCTTCATGCAATTCAACTGCTAACTGTTCATTCATACTTTCACTCAGACACCTCATTCCAACTTTAAAATGTTACACATCTTTCTGACATTATTCGTGTAAAACAACTTTTAAATCTGATTCTTACTTTTAGAGATATTAAACATTGTTCAGACCTTGTTTCAGAGGTTTTCTTCACATTTTAACATTAACTAGATTGTGTGATGTCACAGCTAGAGTGGAGGACAGCTTGAAATTCGCATTCATATATTTTTTTTAAACTGCCATAATTCCCAAACCCTACATTCCTGAGACATAATTTATCATGACAAACGTAGGAAAACATCCCGTAGCTTGAAAAATGACACATAATTAAGCAAAAATAATTAAACAAAATGTTTTTTGAGGGCATGAAGTGACAAAAACGTTCAACATTCCTCCATTAAACCCCATTGTAATTTCAGGCAGATATTTCCTCACGGCAGCAGCCGCACACCTTTAGTTAAACTGCCCAAAAGGCCACATTATTAACCCGAAACTACACAAAAATTACACTTCAGATACTCAACTTCCTTGACATGCTTCACGTTTTGAAATTTCACAGACATCTGTTACGGTTCTTCCACAAAACGTTCACATGTAAGAGGTTCATCTCTCATTCAGAACAATGAAGCCTTTGAAGTCTAGGCACCTCGTTAGCTCAACTATAAACACCTGTG